ACGGCAAAATACACATCATGGGAGAGATTTTGTGTTTATAAAATCCAATTTCAGACACCTAAACTGAACTAATGTTTGCCGAAACTCTGGGTATATCGCGTGCATCGTTTCAAAAAAGTATCAAACGAAAACACCACCCAACACATTGGACGTTGTTTCACACCTCGAGACACTGACTTGCACGGGCGCATCGAACGCCGTTGTAGCATAGCGCGCAGTCGTTAAATGTCTGCGACGGATGATGATAATAGCTTTTTTGCCAAAAAAAAGAAGACTCCGCACGGACCTCTCCTTCGTCAGGGCTGGATTCGGCGCTGTAGCCGTTCTGTCTAATGCAAGTGATCGGATTAGAATGTATTCCCCTAGTAAAGTATTTGGCCAGACGCAAACGGTGAAAAGGGTAGGAGGCCGGAGAGATGCACAGGACAGGAGGTTCAGATGGCGGTCGCGAGCTTCGAATTCTCCGTTTATCTTGTACAAGGTTTCTTACATGTCTGTCTGTCTGAGGGTGAAGACATCCCTTGTCGCCTTGGATGTGCCAGCAAACGCGTGACGCTCTCGCGCACTCGGTGCGTGACTTAGGGGGTAAAATGGCGTCCATGCATTTGCCAAAGCTACGCGCTCCAGCTGAGTGACACCAGATTGCGCGCGCTTCAAAATGCGTAAAAACAACGATTGGGCGGAAAAATGGCTGGAGTCACCACTCAAGCAAAAGCGCGCGTGTGTATGAAGGCACTCTATCTTGCTCAAGGTTGATACGCCACGGGTCGTAAGAATCGGGAAATAAAACAGCGTGTCTCAGAAAGCTGGGTATGCTAAGCTCTTTGTATCTTAAGCTGTCAGTGATAAATGTGAAGGATCATTCAAAAACATGAATTCGGCCTACAAGGAGCGCTCGACACCTAAAGGGGGCGCGCCGATCCATTTCGGGAGCTGGTCGAAAGTGCCCCCAACGACAGCGTCCACGTTAGTTCGCATAGTGAAGCCCTGCCCGCTTCGGCCTCTCTTAAGGTGCCCACAGCGCCTTGGCCGCGTCTGCATCTTCGCGCGCTCGAGTTTTGTATGTCTCACGCCCGGAGTGAAGGTCTGAAACCTTGATATCCAAAACTTCATTTTATTTCCAGCGTTGCTCTGTATGCGTCCTCACGTAAATTGACCCGGCAGCGGTTGCTCAGAGCTCGGGTTCAAAGGTGTCCCCCGAAAATGTAAGATATAACCCGCATGTAAGCGATTTGGCAAGAGACGAGAGAAGCGACAGCGACAGGCTTCGCCGTCGCTCGGGTAGTTGCGCGACGAGGCAAACCGTACGAAAGCGACGGGAGCAAGCGCCCAAGGCGATGAGCGACGTTTTCTAAAAATCTAAAAAGCGAGCGACGCGACGAGCGACGCGACAAGCGACAGTGAGAAATCTCCGTCACTCATCGCTGACTCACGTCGCTGTCCCGGCGCTCGTCTCGTCGCTCGCTAAATCGCCGACATGCCGTTTAACCTTAAGCGCCAACGACAGCAACACACCGTCACTCTTCTTTTTATATTTTTATATTTTTTTGTTTGTCTCTGACATTGGTTTTTACGAAGCGCTTTTGTGTTTGGCGGTGCGGAAATTACTATAGAACAATATTGTCGCGGATAGAACATAAACTTTATCAATAAAGCCTAAGATCAACGTTTAATGCCGCGAACTTGTGCTGAGAAACATAAAATGACAGACCTATTTTGTCGGCGCCGGAAGGGCGATTGACTCAATCAGCCATGCGAAGCTCCTTTTTCTAAGCGCGTGGGTATCTAGAAGTTTCCGAGCTCGAACAAAAAAACAAGAATCTCGAGTCATGTGGAAAATTCTAGTCTTGGCAAAGAAACTAAATATAAAGAAGGACAAGCGCTGGCGGGGATCAAACCCCAGCCAACAGCGTGTAAGTCGAGCACGCCGCTGACTCAGCTATTTGCATGCGGCAATATTCACTAGTGCCGGTAATTGATAAAATCTACACGAGAAGTATATTTTGCTCCTCGTATAATTAGATGGCTCTCCGCTCGCTGGAGGCTCAAGTAGACTACACGTACTGCTATTGAGATGATCGCGGCGGTTTCTGTGAGAGCATGCGGGGGGATCTGTGTGCTCAGTTTAAAGGTCTTATGCAAAATATGTTAACGCAAACTGAAACTCTAAACGTCCTGTATAGTGCTGTGCTCAGGTAAGCTGACATTCATTAGAAGCTTAGGTCGGCCAATGGACAGGATCTCTACGCAATAGTATTTTGCTGGGAGCCGCTGCATGGCGCCACTGTCTTGTCGCGCGCTTCTAGTAGTCACTGACTTTTCAGAAAAACGCGGAGGGTTTTTAATTATTTGTATCTTTTTTTGCGTTCGTATAGGATAATGGCAGAATTTTACGGGCTACAAAGCTTTAATAGCCACGCCCTTTGTTTCTTTAGAAGTGTGCAATTATAATCTACATTTTTCCTTTTTGTCTGGGAAGATGAACTCGGCTTGTGGCGTGTGGTATACATCACCTTTGTTAGTGACCAATCTATAATACACCATTCAAACCCATACATATCTAATTTTATTATCGAGACGTACAATTGCTACTTTGAAAAGTTTTTAGTCAGACATACAACGAAAAGACTGGATAAAATTAATCTGTGTATGACGATTTAAATTATGATTATCGCACTTAGTAAAATGTTTGTGCAAACTTATTATGTGTGCAAAAGTTTCATCGGGAAAATACTCCTTGACCAACAAAAAGAAGAATATTGGTACCACAGTATGTATGTAGATGTATGTTCCTCGCGACTGAACTTAACGTCGGTGACGCATAATAAAGCGAATTAAAAATAGTTTAGGTATGATCTGCCGTAACATTTCTAAAACATTCACTAGGACCTGGGTTGACATAGTATTGCACGTGTAAATTTGATCGAACAAGATTATGGTCCTGAAGAACTGTAATAAGTTACGTACCAAAAACTAGTGTCATCACGTTCAGCCTTTGAGAGCTAGGATAAACAATTATATTATTATTTGAAAGGCGAATACAAGTTAAGAATGTGTTAAAAAAACACCACCAGTTACCAGCCAGGATGTCAAATCGCTCCGGCAAACAACCAGGAATGGCAGTATCCTATCCAGCTGCAGAGACCCACGTCAGCGCGACGTGGGTCTCTGCAGTGGACTATTTACTCATTCCGGAGGAACTGTGGCTAGCAGGGATGAGGATACGCGAGGAGCCTCTGACGCATTCCCAACTCGTATCTTACTATATATGTTTGTAAGCATGGTCTCTGACAATGTTACCAGATTAACTCAGTTGTGGAACTCCCGCGGAAGGGTACCTCGGTAGTAAAACTCCCGCGGAGGGAATGGGGGGAGGGTTCGAAGCTCTAGCTAGATTTTTGTTTACGAACTGTGTGATCCATAGAGCAGATCCCTTTATACTGGGAGTGTTTGGCGATCTTTTGAAGATACGCTCCCGCCATTTTGGTTGATCGAATTTCGAACCCACACTGGATTAGGCACGCAAGGTATGCTGTGACACACCATTGTAATAAAAGTGTTTATCGCTAATATAAGTGCTTTTCGCGCAGCACACGTAGTCAGAAGCTCAAACTTCCTTATCTGCTACGATCTCTTAAAATTATATGACCTTGAACTTATTTCTCCTTTGCGAAAAGTGAGTTTTGAATACTTTGAATATTGGGTCCCAAAAATGACCACCGCTAAAATTCAGTGCTGTGAGGAACGCCATCTAGGAGAGGCGCTGCTAACCCTTGCACGATATTAAAAATTAAATAGCGCAAAGGTTAGACAAGGGACCAGGGACAGAACATGTAGACAGGACAAGCGCTATCAGATATTGAGGTGGGCTAGTTTTGCGCTATTTAATTTTTAATATCATGCATATCCAACTAGCCCACCTCAATATCTTAGTAAAACCCTTGCGCTCAATCACCATATTAATTTTTGGTTGAGAAAGTTTAATTTTGTTTAAAACGAAAAGAAATAAAGCTTAGCTGAAAAGATTAATAAAAGATGGCCACTGCTTGAATATAGTGACCAATTGCAGGTATAACAAAATGTCAGAGCACCAGAAATTCTGTTTATAAAACAACTACTAACCGCGCATTTGGACTAGCGCGCGGAAGTACAGTCGCCAAAAACAAAATCTTCCATTTTGTGTGATCGTAAAGTCCGCTTGTTTTAGCGGGCGACGGGTTCCACCCATTGGCCAAACTCTCTCAGTATATATGGCTCTGCCACAGAGTAAAGAAAAGCACCATCTAGATCAGGGGTGGCCAGGCTAACCTGGCCTAAGAGCCTCAAACAAAGCCACGAAACCTCCAAGAGCCTCGGGGGGGGGGGGGGGGGGGGGGGCAAATTTTGTTTATAGCAGTAAACAAAACTCGAACTACTTTCAATCTATCCGAGTCAAAAGCAGTCAAACTGTACGTAAGGTAGCAGTAGCACAAGACTACCAAACCCCAACCTGTCTTCAGATTTAAAACGGGTTCCATTTCTCTTTTTAGAGAAGTGCTCGTGTGACCGAGAGGGAGGCGGGGAAGGGGGGGCGCCAGGGGAGGGAGCCGCGAGCCGCACTTTAACACGCAAAGAGCCGCAGCTTCGTCGCCCCTGATCTCGACGCTGCGCTTTGAAACGTACGAATCCCATAGAATACAAAGCAGCCGTCCGGCGCGTCGAACGACGGGAGTCGAGTCGTGGTAAGTGAAGGGGATACTGCTCGGGCATGCAGCGTCTATGAGCACTTCCGTAACTGAGCTAATCTAATAACGTTTGTCTCTGATTGCCGCCGTCTTATTACTGACAGGTATAGATCGTCTGATAGTGAAGCGTTGCCAAGGCGGTCCCATGGTTACCAGACTGGGGACCAAGCATTTTCCATCCAAAGTGGCTAGACTAGTTTTTAGAGTGCGGCCGCTTACAAACGTCTCTATAGGCTGATATTATGGGTAACTCTAAAAATAGAAGAATGCACTCACCGACGACCTGAAGGCGCACCGTGGCGTTCCGGCCGGTGCCATCTCGGAAGGTGACGACACAGACGTACTTTCCGGTGTCTTCGTAGCGGAGTCCCGTCACCTTCAGCGAGAACGGGTAGCCCACCATATGGAAGTAGGCGCGACCTTGCCACTCGGGGCGTGCCCAGCGAACCACCTGCGCCGTGCAAAGATGCTAAACAAACCCAAAAGAGCAAAAATGTTCCAAGAGCCGGGATCCACGATTACAATCCCACCCTTCCTGAGCCACAAAGTGGTATTGTATTTAAAGTGGACTGTCAGGACTGTGACATGTGTTACATAGGATATACCGACCGAAAACAGAGTATCCGCCTCAAAGAACGCAGAAGAGACGTGGAGAAGGCAACACATGCCACAAGATCAGAAGCTGAATGGGTGGATCATTTTTGGAAGATTGCTCACACTTTTGACACCGCGGACGCTGTGACCCTGGCACGTGAACAACGGTGGAACCCTAGAGGATATCTGGAATCATGGTGTATTCGTAGCAACCCATCCACCTTTAATTCTAACCGCGGCCCCCTTCCCGACTTGTACACAGGCATCCTGAAATAACTTAGTCACCATTTAACATCCCATCTACTATGGACGGGAAAGAAGTTTAAACGAGGGCGGTAATGATGATGTCTCCCGTATGCCATGAACGAAGAAGTCATTGGAACCAGTGCTACGGATGAAGAGAAGGACAAAGCAAGCTTTTGGTTGCTGGTAGCTAGTCGGTGTCACGTTACGCGGTGAAAAAAAAGAAGAAGAGGAAAGAAGAGGTGCCAGGCTAGGCGGTGGAAAGTGAAGAAAAAGAAAAGAAAAAAAAGGAGAAGCTCGAGAGAGTGGGGCTCGAGCAGAGGGACAGATTCGACGGTGCCCCGAGAACGCTGCCTACCTCGGCCGCGAACCGCAGAGGCAGATGAATTCGACGGTGACCTGAGAAAGCTGCAGTCCTCGGCCGTGAACCGCAGACGCAGGCCGGCTCCACCCAAACTCGGACCCGCAGCCCTCTACAGAGATCCAAACTATCAAGGCGACGAACCCTGATACCCAAGCGGGAAATTTCTCGGAGAAAAACCTGGGCCACCTCCAACAGAGCCCGGAATTACCTCGGCAGCGACCCCTGGTAAAAGCAACTGGCTCCGGCGAGAACCCATCATCAAGTTTCAACAGACACTGGTGACCCCAACGCGGGAGGTCATCAACCTGAACGGGGACGTGAGAGTTCAAGACATTTCTAACTGTACATGTGTAAATACTTAGGCAATAGGTATCTTGTCTATTTACGTATGTCGCTGTGTTATATAAATTGATTTATACCGTCCGACCGTGCACTCTCCTATCTTACTCAGACGGTTGACCTGAACCACGTCAATATTGGCGAGCTTGCCAGAATACAACCCCTGAGTGAGAGAGGATTGTTTCACGTGTCAGCAGTTATCAGCCTGAGATTGTCAGAATGGATTTAGAAAAAATATTGACGATGAGTAGTTCTTTGAGGCTGACGAAAGAAGAAACAATGACTCTCTTTGAGGAGGAGAAGAAACGCGTTAGAGAGGAAAGGTTGCTAGCTAGAGAAGTTGCCAAACTCGAAGATGAACGAGAACAAGCCAGGGCAGAACGAGAACAAGCGAGGGCAGAACGAGAACAAGCGAAGGCAGAACGAGAACGAGCTTGTTTCGAGCGTGAGCGAGAGATGATAGAACTAAAGATTCGGCTAGCACAAGCCGAAACTTCAAATGATCGGCCAACGGACAACGAAGGAGGGGAGGTACCACCGCGAAGAAGTGCATGTTTGAAAAAACTAATGCCGCCTTTCGACGAGAAACGAGACGACCTCGATGCGTACTTGCACAGGTTTGAAAGAATCACAGTAGGCCAAAACTGGGCAAAGGAGGAGTGGGCGACATCTTTGAGCCTTTGTCTAGTGGGAGAAGCACTGACAACGTTTGGTCGTATGCCAGCATCAGATTCGTTAGATTACGAAAAAGTGAAGATTGCGCTACTTCAAAGATTTAGGCTTACCGCTGATGGCTTCAGGGAGAAATTCAGGAAAAGTAAACCCGAAGAAGCTGAAACTGGGTTACAATTTTGCTCGAGACTAAGCAATTATTTTGATAGGTGGCTCGAAATGTCTGAAACAGCGAAGACCTTCGACGGTGTAAGAGATAGAATAATAGGCGAACAGTTCCTAGCTTGCTGTAATTCTAAGCTAGCCATTTTTTTAAAAGAACGCAAGGTTGATTCTACACAAGAAATGGCGAGATTAGCGGACCAGTACTTAGAAGCACAAGGGAAAGGGAATCTGGGAAAAACAAAGGAGGATGCTAATACAGGAGAGGACCCCGACTTCTGTAAAGGAAAATCCATGATTAGCGCTCGAACGGGAGGAGCAGTAAGAACAGCTCCCAAATGCTTCTTATGCAATAAGTTAGGGCATAAAGCTAGTGAGTGCAGAAGCGGGTATCGAAAAGCACAGGCGGGAATTCGTTGTTGGGAATGTGGAAAAACTGGACACAAGGCTGAGGAATGCAGAAACGTGCCGAGAAACAAAGTGGCATGTTTTTTAAACCAAGGGGAGGCATCATCGACCGAGCCCAAAGAGGGAAACCAGTACCAAGAGAGGACAAAAAACAAAGTGAAGGCGAGCACTGACGACCTTGATGCAAAGTATGGTTTGCATTTAATGATGCCAGTGGTGGAAGGTCGATTTCATGGCAATAAAATAGACGTGCTCAGGGACAGTGGTACAAACACGGTATTAATAAGAAAAAGTCTGGTGCACGACAATGAGCTTACCGGGGAGTCCACGGGGGTAATTCTAGTTGACAGGACAGTGAGGATGATGCCTGAAGCCATCATATACATCGAGACGCCCTATTACACAGGACAAGTAAATGCAAAATGTGTTGAGGATCCACTCTACGATTTAATATTAGGTAACATCTCGGGTGTGAGAAAAGTAGACTGTCCCGACCCAGAGTGGTTAACAGAAACTTACGAGATGCATGGTCGTGAAGACCACGTTGTGGGCAAGACAGAGAGCCGTCGTGAAAATGATAGCAGGTTTCCAGCCGTGAACAACTGCTCTGTGCCAGAGCCAAAAGGTGGGGAACACGTAGTTACCGAAATGGAGAAGATACCCAGCAAACCTGCGCAGATTGATACTAACATCTCGTTTGCAGTACGATCTAAGATGACTAACGAAACGGCAGAGAAACCGTTACCCCGACTAAAAACGCCGGTCATAAGGTTGTTAGAGGTCACGGCACAAGAAATAACCAGAGACCAAAAAGAGGATGATTGTCTCCAGCGATGTTACGGGAACCTCGACAGGAAAACACGGAAATGGAGATCGGGCGTAACGACGCAATAGTCTATGAAAGGGGATATGTTGATTCGGAGATGCGAGTTTGATTCGGGCGACGTGATAGATCAACTCATCGTGCCAACAATGTATCGGGAGAACGTATTAGAGTTGGCACATGATTCCCTTATGTCGGGTCATCAAGGTGTGAAGAGCACAATTGCTCGAGTATCAAACGACTTCTTTTGGCCCGGGATGCAAAGCGATGTCAAACGCTATGTAAGATCTTGTGACGTGTGCCAACGTACAATTCCGAAAGGAGCTGTCAAAAGGGCACCAATGATACCCATGCCCATAATTGAGACACCTTTCCACAGGGTAGCTATTGACATTATCGGACCGATAACACCAACGTCATGTAAGGGCAACAGGTATATCCTTACGATTGTCGACATGGCCACCAGATACCCTGATGCGGTGGCGCTAAGAACGATTGACACCCCACATATAGCAGAGGCACTTGTAGAGATGTTCTCCAGGTACGGAATACCCAAAGAGATCTTGAGCGACCGAGGATCTAATTTCACTTCGGACCTCATGAAGGAAGTCAGTCGTCTATTATCATTTAGGCAGTTGTTGACAACGCCATATCACCCCATGTGCAACGGACTGGTGGAGCGATTTAATGGAACAATCAAACAGATGCTCAAGAGGATGTGTCAGGAGCGGCCCACCGACTGGGATCGGTATATTCCAGCCCTACTCTTTGCTTACAGAGGGGTACCCCAGGCCACGTTGGGATTCGCACCCTTTGAGATGTTATACGGGCGGAATGTAAGAGGCCCCTTGACTATACTGAAAGAGTTATGGTCAAATGAGACTTTGGACGAAGAGTTAAAAACATCGTATAAGTATGTGTTGGAACTGAAACACAAGCTAAAGAAGACGTGTGAAGTAGCACACGAGGGCGTTTGAGAAGCTCAAACAAAACAAAAAAAGTACTACGATCGCAAGAGCCAGACAAGAAGATTCGAACCAGGAGACTTAGGGCCGGTTGCACCAACGTCGCTTATCTTAACCCAAAGCGGCGCTTTCCTAAGCCGGCTTAGCGCCCTAAACCGAGCTTAGGTAAGCACGGGTTTAAATTCCGGTTGCACCAACGTTAAGCCGGCTTTACAGACGCGCCCCTAGCTAAGCGCTGGATTTGCGTAGGGAATCTAGGGACAAACAGAGCAAACTAGGGAATGCTCAGAGCGACGAATACGATTGGCGAAGAGGAATCACGTGACGTAAAAAAAAAAAAAAAAAACTACCGTAGTAGTCGTCGTCGGCGTCTGCTTTTCGCTGTATTTCTTCGGTGAGTAACAAATTAAAGGTCTCCAAATTCAATCATTTTTTCGTTTAACTTTCAATAACAGAAGTCAAAGCTTCAAATAAACACGAATGCTCTTTACATCTGTGATTGTGTTTAATATCGGTTGATAACAGGATATTTTGACAGTGGTAGTAGTTTTCATGCTCACATTTTGAGGTGAAGGAGCCATCGGGGGCCCCAAATCTCACCGAACGCGGGAAGGACACTCTACTCGCTACATCGCTGAAGACAAAACATCATGGATATAAGTAGGCAGGTAAGATGACTACTAAAACCAAGTCAAGCCTGAGACCGACGAAGTTCAAAACAGTGACGAACTCGCCACGGCAGCTGCGAAAATGCCCGGAAATCGTCGAATAGAAGTCGTCGAGAGGTCAGGTCACGAGACCTTGCATCGACGGTACTCGTTGCTATCAGCAAGGCGACAGAACTGCAC